TATTATTTTATTTTCTTAAAAATAATAATTTTTTCCCACTCCACCTATCCCTCCATTTTCAAATTTTTTTCTCGCTTTGTGTTAGATTTATACATACCTTTTTAGGAAAGTATTTTTCATTTGCCGCAAGATTTTTTTTAAAATAGAATTTTTATTTATGTTATATCTGGCAAGTAGAAAAAAAATCCTAAAAATATTTGTACATATCTAATACAAAACGAGAAAAATGTAAAAGTAAATAAATAATTAGTAGCGGAGGATTAGATAAGGTGGGTAGTTCTTTTTAAAATAATAATAATAATATAATTTTTTTTGGGAATGAGTGGGTGGTTTGGGGGGAGGGGAGATGGGGTGCAATATGAATTTTTTTAAAATATTTATATGAGAAATTTAAAAAATAATAAAGAACAGGGGGTAATCCTGGCGGTGGGTGGTGGAGTGGGGTAAGAAAAATAATTTAAATTTTATTTTTAAAAAAGTTAATTTTTGGGGGATAGTAATACTTTAATCTTTTATTTTTAATAATACTAATAGTTTATTATTTAATTTTTGTCAAGGTAGAATATTTTATTTATGTGGAATGTCATGTGTCAATGATTTTTCAAATAATAGAGATTGTATTACACATATCACTGAGATGTGTTTTTCAAACTAAAAAAGTGATTATTTAGGTATGAAACTCACACTCTCAATACTTTAGGTATGAAACTAAAAAAAAGAGATAGCTTAGGTGTGTTTTAGATAGTTTAGATGTGTTTTTGATACTTATCTCATATGAAAAAAGTAATTTTTAAATAAATATATTTTCCTGACAAATGCTTTTGAAAAAAATATAGGGAAAAACGTAGATTTTTCTCTAATTGTCAGTAGCCTGGTTAAATTATTGGGAAAAATAACACTACCCCCAAAAGTAAAATATTTACCCTTAAGTGCCCCATTACTTGCATACCCCTTTTTTATTTTAAAATGACATATATCTGTTGTGCCGTAATTTTCCTAAACTTTAGAAAAATCACTTTTTGAAGTGTTCTAAGTATAAAACAATTCGAGAAATATTTAGAAAAGAGTCGCCACTTAATTTTTTAAAAGAAATTAAGAAAACTTATACTTTTCAAAGATTTAAACAGAAAAAATCATTTGAAAATATCAAAGAGGGTTCGGGATTCAATTAACACTTCGAGAAGGGTTTAAGCATTCAAAGTGTCCGCTAACATGCGGTTGACCTGTGACTTGACTAAAATATTTAACTATTTTAAAGAAAATGATTTAACTTAAAAATAATAATTTATAATATTTGATTAACTTTAAGAAAATAACAAAATAAACGACACATTTTATATTATTTCATTTTTTAGAGAAAGGGATCCAAAATGGAATGTTTGACTCGAAATACAAGTAATTAGAATTTTAATAAAACTAGATTAATTAGAATTTATTTAATTCATTTTTGAAATAATAATTTAAACCTATTTAATAAATTAGAGCATGAAAATCATATTTTTTTTAATTAATTGACTAAGTTTTTTGAGAAAATGACTGAGTAAGAGAAAGCCATGTTTTAAAGTTTATTGAAGAAAAATACTTAAACTTAAAACCATTTTAAAATAAAATGTGATCAAGTGAAGCGGCCTTAAAACATATCTTCTCAAAAACAAAGATTTAACTTAATTAGAATATAAAATTCGATCAATATTTGATTAATAAAATAAGTGAACACAACAAGTGAAATGTATTAAAATAAACCGACACGACGAAAATGACTCGTCTCTTTGGGGAATCTAATTAAGTTATTTAAAGTAAATTATAGTTAGAGTTAAATAAAATTAGTCAAGCACAAGCAAATCAATTAAAAGAGTAAAAGATATCAGGAAATTGGGCCCCTTTTTGGGCCAATTTCACTGTAAATTTTGAATTAATCCAATTCCCATTTTTGCGTATACACTAAACGTATATCAGTGTATATATCAGCTTTTTTCATGTATCTCTTGCTTTCGAACACCTGTATTTCATCTCATCTCGGTACTTTTCGTATTTTTGGCCTGTGTTTGCTGTACCGAACTTGTATATTAGCGTATACTTCCGTATATAACATGTATACAACCCCCTTTTCTTGGGCTTTTGAACATTTGTGAACTAATTTCCAGCGGTGTTGGATCTCCGGGACTTGTAACAGCTTCTGAATTTATAGGGGCTGACTCGAGTAAAAGGAGAATTTGGGGGGCCTTTATGGCCCGTCAAAGATGCGAGAGATCGAGAAAGAATCCATTTGGACTCATAAAGATTTGGCAGAGAGCAAAACAAAATAAGAGAGAATTAATACCATTTTCAAATAGAAACAAGCAGGTAGTAAAATAATACTAAGCACTGATAAGAGAATCATAAGAGCATGGGACGAGAAAATGAAAGCACAAACATAGGAAAATGACAAGAAATTAATAAGAGCCTGGTGTCACGGGCCTATTTTTCGAAGGCATGTGGGACAGCAACTGAAGGCTTGCACAGCTCCTCGGATGCTCAGTCCTAACACAAACAAGCACTCAAAACGTGCCCAGCAATCTGTCTAAAACAGTCCACTAAAACAGCCAACAAGAAAGCAAATAAAAGGAAGCAAGCTTTGGGAGGCAAGTGCCAATTTTCTTTGATATTTTCTCTAAGTTCTACATACCAATGAACTACTACAATATATGTCTAAAGGCTGAAAATCTAAGCTAAAACGTTGGGGACAAGTTCCCCTAAAATAATGGCCTACATGTGTGTCTTTACAAGTCAAAGGGTATGGTGGAGTGTTCCTCAAATTTTGGCAGTCTTGTCCCTCTGCTGGGCCCTCTGTTGGAAGAAAGCCATGGTCACCACCTGCCCATCAAGGGTCTCCAAAGTATCTCCGAAAGACGGAATAAAATTTGTCCGCTGTTTGAGACCCGACGATTTTGCCTCGCCCCTGAAAACGCTGGATTTTAATGTAACGCCTTCTGGGGTGGCACACGCTCCCTCACCTGACTTGGCGACGACCCCGGCGCCACACACCTGCAAATAAGAGTGGACCTTGTCGCGAAACTGCCACAAGTCTGATCAATAATTGCCTCGATCTGTTTGTCCACGGCTGGTGGAGTGATGATTAGATGAGCTCTACCGGCCTGCCCTCGACCCTCCACTTCTGTGTCTTCGAAATACGGTTTCAATTGACTCGCATAGAAGACTGGATGTATCTTCAAGGGATGGGGCATATCAACCCGATACGAGATTTTGCCAGCCTTGGCAATAATCTCGAAAGGACCCTCGTAGCGGCGAATCAAACTTTGACTCACTCCACGTAGCGACTTGAATTGCCTAGGGTTGAGTTTCACCATGACTCGATCCCCAATTCGATAGTCGACTGGACGCCGCTTTCGATCAGCAAACTTCTTCATTTTCCGGGCTGCCTTATCAAGGTAGGACCTTGCAAGGTCGACCTGTTCCTCCCAGGCCTTTGCCATTTGATAGGCACCCGGACTCTTCAAACCGGCATCGACGGGCAATGATTGTGGCGTGTTGGGCTGCTGCCCGGTAGCTAATTCGAATGGACTTCTTCCCGTCGCCTCACTCCGCTGTAAATTGTAGGAGAACTGGGCAGTGTCCTGCAATTTTGCCCAGTCTTTCTGATTGGCACTGACATAGTGCCGTAAATAGCACTCCAAAAGTGCGTTGATCCGCTCTGTCTGTCCGTCCGTTTGGGGATGAAAGCTGGTCGAAAACTGTAATTCTGACCCAAGCAAGCTGAATAATTCTCTCCAGAACGCTCCAGTGAATCGAGGGTCTCGATCACTAATAATGTGCTTTGGAATGCCCCAATGTTTGACGACATCACACAAGAATATACGGGCTGCCTCTTTGGCTTTGCAGCTGGCTGTCGTGGCAGTAAATGTCGTGTATTTTGAGAAGCGATCAACAACAACCATAATGGTCCCGAACCCCTCTGAATTCGGCAAGCAAGTGATGAAATCCATGGTGATGCTGTCCCATGGTTTCTCAGCAATGGGCAGTGGCTCAAGCAGTCCACCCGGCGCCTTCGTTTCAACTTTGTCTTGTTGACAAACGAGGCAAGTGCGCACATAGACCTCAATGTCGTCTCGCAATCGAGGCCAATAATAAGATGATTCCAGCAACGCTAGCGTCCTCTTCTGCCCTGGGTGACCAGCCCACATCATATCATGACCCTCCTTGATCAAAGTACGCCGAAGACTAGCCCACTTCGGCACGTACACACGTCTGCCCGTAGTGTACATCAATCCATCTTCCTCCCAGAATTTCTTCGTCTTGCCTTGTTGGGCCAAAACGAG